GCGCCCGGCCGCGCCGGCTCCAGTCGACACGCGCGCAGTCTGAGCGACGCCGCGCGCGCGCCCGTGATCCCAGAGTTCGGCGCGTGGCAGGGCTCTCCCACCGGCGGCGGCTGGTCATCCACGGAGAGCCTGGGCCGCTCTGGCGCCGAGCCGACGCCGGCGGCGCCGCTCAGTCCCATCGCCAGCTCCGACTCGCTGGGTGACGGCGGCGGCGCGGAGCCGACCGGCTCGGCGCGGCTGGCGGTGCCCGTTCCCACCACCCGCTCGCGCCTGCCGTCCGTCTCGCTGTCGCTCTCGCCGCCGACCTACTACCCCAGCGAGGAGGACGCGCAGGGGTACGCCACGCTGCGCGGACTGACGGGCCGCCTGCGACGCGGCGAGTCGGCGGATGAGGGCGCTTCGGGGACGTCGGCGGCGCCGCTGCTCGACTGCGGCAGACGCCGACTGGCCTCGCTGACCCTGGACGCGCGTCTCAGCAGGACGCTGAGGTAAGAGGGGTACTCGGGACCAGGGCTAGGTGGGAGCTCTGTCAGGCAGACGGGAACCAAAAGACAGGGGATGGTGCAGGCGCTGAGTTGTCAGCTGGGCCAAAACGAGGTGCGATAGGAACACCGCTTGGAGGCCGGTTTTATGATTGGCAATTCGTTAAGGATATTATGACACAACTTTTTCCCAAGAAAGCATCAAATTTGTCTTGTGGAAAATCGGTTGTTTATTCAAAAACTTTTGATTTAGTCTTATTTGTAATTACCATCGCTATACATAAAAGTATGCCATTCGCCACGGTGTATCGGCTCACCCTCCCACCGCCCACCTCTGACCTCCCCCCTCCCGTCGTCGCCCGCAGCGGGGCGGGTCCACCGTCGCCGGGCGGCGCTCTGCTGATACGCGGCTCATCCCGGCGCTCCTCGCTGACCACCGTGAAGCGGTACCAGCTGCAGAGGAGCGCCCTGGCGCCCGCCTACCTGGGCATCGCGCTGCCGCTCGACCTGGCCACCGGCCTGCTGGCGCCGCCGCCACCGCCGGCGCACGCGGCGCCCCGGCAGCCGTCCACCGACTCCGAGCCCGAGCAGAGCTCCAAGGACGCCAGTCTGTCCCTCGGTGAGAGGGGAGAGGAGGGAGGGACGGGGGAGGGATCATGCGGCGCCCCGGCAGCCGTCCACCGACTCCGAGCCCGAGCAGAGCTCCAAAGACGCCAGTCTGTCCCTCGGTGAGAGGGGGGAGCAGCGTTTGGAAGGGAGAGGCCTTTTCTGCTTGTTTGGTTTATGGTGCTTTGGTATGGGCGCTACTGTAACCATCGCAGCTGCACCCAGACCCCAGTGTTTACCATACCTCGACTTATGTCATGTCCTGTGATATCTCTTTCTGCTTAATTGACATGTTCGGTGCCCGCTGTTCGCTGTGTTTGTTACATTACTCGTACGTGCTTTCGCTGTGCCGCTGTCCGTGTCTTCCTACTGACGCGTGCTCTCTATTCCCGACGCCGCCTCTGTACAGACGAGGACGGAGTGCTGGAGTTCCACAACCCGACCAACTGTATCCGCTGCTTCACACTCAAGGACCGCGTGGAGAGGAGGCCGAGGAACAGGACAGGTCAGTCGTACGTGCTAGCGAGTTAGTCGCTTGTGAGTTAGTGGCTGTGACCACTATTATGACACTCACTTAAGTTCGGTTGACCGTATTTTGTCGTATTTAACAAAATACAGCAACATGGTAGTGGATAAGCTAAAAAGCGACGTCACGCAGCCTCCTGTAACGTCACGTACCGTACCCTCTCGTAACTCCTCGTACCCCTCATGACCCGGCAGGTACCCTCGCCGTGACCCCCTCGCCCTCTCCGTGACCCCTGTTCCCTCCCCGTGACCCCGTACCTCCCCTCTGACCTTGCTTGCCCCGCTCTGTCTTCAGACACGGAGTCCAGTACAGAGAGCGCCCAGCACGTGGCGTCGCCGCCCCAGCCGGAGCACCCGGTGGGCGGAGGCGGCGGCGGCGGCGGCGGCTGGTACCTGTCACACCTGCGGCTGGGCGGCGGCGGCGCCACGCTGGATATTCCGTCCTCCATCACCAGCGTAGGCAGTGCCACCAGTCTGGCCAGTCACGAGCACCTCCTAGGTGGGTATCAGAGGGACACAGCGCCACCAGTCTGGCCAGCCACGAACACCTCCTAGGTGGGTATCAGAGCGACACAACACCACCAGTCTGGCCAGCCACGAACACCTCCTAGGTGGGTATCAGAGCGACACAACACCACCAGTCTGGCCAGCCACGAACACCTCCTAGGTGGTTATTAGAGGGGGAGGGGGGCACAGCGCCACCAGTCTGGCCAGTCACGAACACCTCCTAGGTGGGTATCAGAGCGACACAACACCACCAGTCTGGCCAGCCATGAACACCTCCTAGGTGGGTATCAGAGCGACACAACACCACCAGTCTGGCCAGCCACGAACACCTCCTAGGTGGGTATCAGAGCGACACAACACCACCAGTCTGGCCAGCCACGAACACCTCCTAGGTGGTTATTAGAGGGGGAGGGGGGCACAGCGCCACCAGTCTGGCCAGTCACGAACACCTCCTAGGTCGGTAACAGAGGGACACAGCGCCTCCTAGGTGGATATCAGAAGGGGCGCAGCACCACGAGCACCTCCTAGGTGGGTGGGTGGAAGAGGGGACACATTGCCACCAGCCTGGTCAGCCACGGGTACCTCTTAGGTATGTGCATATGAGTGCCTGAAACGGGGATGGCACTGGTAGTCAAATGGCTCTCATGTCATAGGGCTGGAGTGGGTTTAGTCTAACATGTGTGGAGGATCCAAAGTAGCCTGGATGGGAGTGTGGGCGCTGATAGGTCAGAGGTGAGCCAACGGCGCAGCCCCAGTGAAGCGACTGGCCAGGGGGTTCGGAGCCGCTGGAAAAGTCCAAGTGTTAGTAGTTGAAATAGGGTTTGGCCTTTGGATGATTCACTCGACCGACCGTTCACTGCATGATAGTACATAGTTGGCGGATCTTGTCCAAATGTGTCTGTGTCTCCCGTGTTCTAACCTCGACCCCGTGGACGGCAGGCGGCTCGCGCCAGATGACGGGCGGCCACGTGCGCTCCCTGGTGCGCCGCGAGGTCCTCCGTCTGGTGGGGGCTCTCAGCACCAGTGTGGGCGTCAAGGCCGCCGAACAGGGCCTGCTCAGGTAAGCAGAGGGGAGGGGAGTGGAGTACTTTATCTGAGTCGGGTGAAAGGTCACAGCGCCAGACGTGTCGGCGTCAAAATCACGGTATTGTTTCTATGTAATTAAAGTCGCGAATTTCAGGTGAACCTCGAGCAATAGAAACTGTGCGAAGCGGATTGTTACGCAAGACTGGCCATTAAACACCCAACTGGACAATCTTGAGTACACAGCGTAGTTTATGGTAGAGAGTGGCCCTTTCAGCCCTTGGAGAGCCACTGAGTGACCCCTCCCCTTCCCCTCCTTCATTCTGTGCCGATCAGCCTGAAGCAGAAGTTCGGCAGTCTGCTGCGGACCGACCTGTGTCTGTACACGGAGATCCACCTGCTACTCTCACACTACGACTTCAGGCTGGCGTCGCGCAGATTCCTCCAGGAGCTCTTCGAGGACGTTATGTTTGAGGACGTGAGTAGTCTGGTGAACGGTGAGAAGAGAATTTGGTGTTGTCGATGTGGGACAAGCACTCAGGGACGTCAAACGTGTTGGATTATTTTTGTGAACGGTTGCCGGGGTAGCTTCAGAATTATGACGAACGACTGGCTAACGTTCGTCATAATTCATACAATGTGCATATTTTTCGTTTTGGAGGTAAAAGACTGCTTCTTTCTCAAGATGATTAAATTCATCAGACTCTAAAAATGTATGACATGTTCTATGAATATATACTGTTCAAGCAATTTTATTTGCTGTCCTTCACAAAGGCCCCGATGACGGGCACGTAGGCCTTCCACTATCAACAGTTAACTGCTGAGCTCCCGGCCTGTAACGATGCGCCTCTCCGGGCGGACAGGTGAAGTCGGAGGCGCTCTGGATCCTGGGCCGGTGCCGCCAGGAGAGACTGGACCAGACGTTCGACACGGACACGGTCCGCAGACAGGGCTCTGTGGACGTCCAGCCGACTGACCCGGCGGACATCTGGCCCGAGCCGCCCGCCTGAGCGCTGGGTACGCGGGGCGACCGGACACAGAGCTTCATAGGGGCGCTCGGGACGCCGAGCGGTGCCTTTTTAATCGATTATTTATTGAAGAATTCCGTTTGTCACAATGCCGTTACTGGCGCAATGCCGTCTTCTCAAAGTTGCCTAGTTCACAGGGTGGGGAGGTTTGAGTCCAAATGGCAGGCGGTATGTCGGTGCGCTGTGTATCAGAGACCCGGGGGTTGATGTGATGAACTGCCGCGGGGTCGCGGTACCGACCAACCCCACTGCTTTTGCGATCCACTCCGGGCGTCGGGAAGCGAGGATCGATATGTGTGCTCCCGTGCCGTCCGTCCATCCGGGGCTATCCTCGTACCCGGGCCCTCTGATATGCCCGCGCTCATATCGGGGGTTCCGGGCGGGCTGGACCGAGTCAGGACAATATGTCGACGGTGGGGTTAGGGACTGTGAGACGTCTGATGGGCGGGGCTGACCGTTTTTACCGCCGGTTTTTATTGCTCAGTATTGCTGGTAGTCGTGTTCATTGAATCATGTATTGCGGCTGATTCCAATGTGGCCGAAACGCGTATATTGCGGGCTTATCGTGTGGGCTTCCTTAGTCCGACATTGCGGGACGGGCGGCTCGTGTGGCCGCGGGGAGGGTGGGAGAATTCGGCCGGCGCTGTAGCGCCCGCCGCTCGTTTTAGAGTTCGCTGTGTATCGCGGGATTCGGGGGAGCGACAACCACGACTGTGACGGCGCTTCATATTTATTACATTGTTATAAAGTGTTCATAACCCATGCCGCCGCGGTCGCGGGCGTCAAGTCATGTTTTTCACTGGTCGACAACGTTGATAAACCATCAAACTGCTCTGAAGTCTCATGTATTGTCATTAGTCACAGTCGATTTCTGGTGGACCGCCAGCGGCATCGAATCTGCGGCATGGCGCGCACAACCGAAAGACTAGTCCCAAAGGTCCGCCACCAGCAGGCAGGCTGTATCCAGCTGCAGTAGTCAGTAGCCATACCCACAGGCTGGGGCGAGTCGGACAGCCGGGACACATCATCACCGGTGAGAGGCGCCGTGACGCGTTTGACAGAGCAGCAACCGCGTTGGACGCCGCAGCATAGACTGCCGCAATCAACAGTCATAGGAATCCCGAGTTGCACGCTCGGTAAATTGACCTCACTGGTCTCTTGTGGCATTCTTTGGGCAAGTTCGGAGCGCCTCGGTATCTGGTGCGCACCTCAAGTCCGCCCAGTAATGGAGTCAGATTATTTAAAGTCAGCAATGTTTGAATATTTGTAACAAAACAGCGTATTGTACAAAACTGAGATTTCAAGTAGCACACATTTGAGACGATTTTTTTTCGCCCCTTATCGGCTTCGAGAGCCTTGCGGTGCCGTCAAACGGATATCCATATGACGCTCTGCGCTAATGGCATGCAAAACGGCGTCAACTTGCGTGGAGAGACAAATTTCAAAGTGATCCATCCGACCGGTGAATTCATCAACGGAATACCGTGAACTAGTTACAACACTGGGTTCCACCCGACGAGCACCTGTTCACAGACCCATATTGGCCGTCAAATTATGCGAACCTAGGATAAAAACGTGCAAACGAAAACACGACAGCAATGAAACAAGATCGATTGAAACGGCAGAATCTGTCGAGCCCACAATGAACACCTGCACGCGGGATGACAACACAAACACATCACTTAGGGGGCGAGATCAGATTAACCAAGGGCCGCGCACCGTGCGGACTTGAAGTAGCCCAAATGTTCGACCGAAAACGGGAGAATAGCCCAACTGTAGGGCTAAACGGAAGAAAAGTTCAAACAGTTCAACTGGCAGTTGGATCAAACTACCAACAGCTGTCAACACCATGTGAACAGGGAGGAGTTCCTTTGATGCTGCCAGTCATTTTCTACCATCGCGGGGTCATCAGAACAGGCTGTGCTGGGCTCGGCTCAGCAGCTCATCCTGAACATCAATTAAAACTGAAACCACAGAGACCCTTCCACCGGAGAGCATAGCTAGCCGTGATAACTAGCCTAATCACCGCGGCCCAATGACATCATCACCTGTTCGTCGTTAACCGCCCGCAGTTCCTTGAACCCTGTGGATCGGACGTGCGTCCCTCGTCCGTCGGCACCCCCAACGGACGCCAACCGGGAGCCCTTGACACAGCGAGAACCCCGCTCCCTTCCGTCCACCCCGAGCCGGGGGGAGGTCGGCGGTCGCTACCGCGCCGGCTTGGCCTTTTTGAAGGCGAGCGCCATGTAGAGGCTGCAGGCCTGCCACTCGGCGCGGGACATGGTGCCCACGCAGCGCTCGTGCTCGGCGGCGGCGCGCGCGTGGCTGTACTCCTCCTCTTCTGCCAGCAGCTCGGCGCCGTGCTGCGGCGGGTACGCCTGAGAAACAACGACCAGTGCCAGTCAGCGAGAGGAAAACTGTCCGAGAACGCATGCTCCTAACGGTTACCAAAATAGCCCGCAACAAAGCCCAATCACGCATGGAGGCTATAGAACAAACTTTGATCAGGAAGAACACACAAACGACATGCGATTCCAAAAGAGCATATTACAAAAACTTACCTCCAGTGCCTGCATTTTGTTGAGCAGCATCTTCCCATCCTGCGTGGTTTTGTACGAGCTGAACATCTCATTGAAGCGCTTCTTGTAGACCAGGTCCAGGTCGTACTTCTTGCACAGTCTGTGGACGAGGAGACATTGACGTGTTTTCTGATTATCACCGAACAGTCGAGGAATGGCTAGGGCTGGGTGAAACTGGTGGCCGACAAACTGATCTTAGTGACCACACCGAACAAAATACTGTCCATTGACCTCTAATGCGGCAAGCAACGGGTGAGACTGCATTAATATAAACACCATGCGAGAATTCCAGCTGAATTATATGGAAGATACTATGTGCATTCTTTTCGCTTTTGTTGTTAAGCCTTGCTTATTATGTAGCCACACCCAGTTCAGTGTTCACACTTGGCTACCCCGCCCCTCCCCCCCCCTGTCCGTACTAAAGTGTGGACCGATTTCCACCCACCCGACCACTCACTTCTCCAGCAGTGGCAGAAAGACGAGGAACTCGGGGCAGTCGACCACGCCCTCCAGGAAGAAGTCGTACTGCGCGCCGAACAGCGCCGGCGGCCGCCGCTCCGGCTCGCGCAGGCGCACCTTGAACAGGTCGTTACCGAACTGGCGTCCGCCTGCGCGCTGCAGACGCGCCCTACACAAACCAGAGAAAAGGGAAGGTGAGACTGTGACTGAGGCATGTAATACTGAGAGTCTGAACACCAGCTGTGGCATACTCAGCAGACCGGCACAGTGCCGATTTAGTGCTCATGTCGTGGATAGACTGACTATGAGTGACTGAGCACAGACATTACCGGCCAATAAGTCTCCTTCCTTGTCTGTCGAAAATTCTTGAAAAAATTGTGTTCTCTTCAATTTATGATCACCTCACAGAACACAGTCTTCTTTCGGACAAACAAAGCGGATACCGTCCGCACCACAGCGCCGAAATTCAGTTAACGTACCTGACACACAACATATATAAAAATTTAGACGAGGGACGCGACGTAACAGCAATCTTTCTTGACATTTCAAAGAACTTTGACAAAATTTGGCACAAAGGACTTCTCTTTAAATGCAAACACGAATTTCACATATCTGGCGTTCTCCTTTCCTGGCTAGAATCGTATCTTTCAGACAGAAGACAAAGAATACGTATTGGCAATGACTTTTCTTCGACAAAAAACATTGAATCCGGCTGCCCACAAGGATCAGTGCTCGGACCTCTTCTTGCTTTAATGTACTTGAACGGACTGACAACGAAAGTGACTAACGACATTCTCTTGTACGCTGACGACACATCTTTATACGCACCACAAAGTAAACAAAACGCTGATTTAGTTCGACAATCATTACAACGAGACCTGGACGCAATTTACGACTATGGAACTCAATGGGCAATTTCCTTCAATCCAACAAAAACTACTCAACAATTTTTCACCCGTAAAACTGGAATAAGTCCTCCCATCCTCACTTTCGGCGGTCAACGTATATCTGTGTCAGACAGCCATAAGCACCTGGGATTAATGTTTTCTAAAGATCTTCGGTTTCACGAGCACACTAACACCATACTTAAAAAAATGAACAAGGCGCTAAGTCCAATATGTCCACTAGCAAAACATTTGACGCGATCAACAATAAACAGCCTATACACCACTTACATTCGACCATTTCACGATTATGCGGACGTAGCTTTTGACGGACTCTTGACAACACACGACCAATTTCGACTTGACAAATTTCAAAATAGAGTTGCAAGACTGATGACAGGTACACCTTTCCGGACTTCTACTGCCAAACTGAGACTAGAAACAGGATGGGGAACACTGAAAGCAAGACGAGAACAACACAAATTAATCCTATTCCACAAAATAATGCATCGTCCAGACACACAACCCGAGTACATCAAAACAATCATACCTCAAACACGTATCACAGACACAGAACGAAACACAAGAAACGCCAACGCCCGAACTCTCCCTGCAAATAACACAACATCATTCCAAAGATCATTCATACCAAGCACCGTCAGGAAATGGAACCAACTTCCAACTTCAATCCGACAACAACCCTGCCTTTCAACCTTTGTAAATGGCATCGTCGAACTGTGGGGCTGCCCTTCTCCCCCTGCATACTACTCATTTGGCAGTAAATCTAGAAATATGCTTCATACACAAATTAGAACCGCAACTTTACCGCTAAATGCATACCTATATCAAATTCAAAAATCAGAATCGTGCTGTTGTACATGTGGCTTCCGTACCGAAAATGTCCAACACTTCGTTCTATACTGTCCACTGTACCAGTCGTTGAGAGATAATTTATTTACCGATCTCTCCGAAACAATTGAAAACTTCACACACCTTCCATCAGAACAAAAATTTGACATCCTCTTCCACGGCAAATCCCTCAGCGCAGAGGACGGTCGGCGCGTCGCCGAGTGCTTCCAGAGCTACATTGAAAAATCCCTCACCATCAGGAATTCGGCGGCGGCTGGCGGCGGCGTGGCCGTGCGGCGGTGACAGCGGCCCTTCCTTGCGGACATCGCCAGTAAACTACCTCAGAGGCGGCAGCATTACTTTAGTTACTCATGCTTTATACGTAACTTAGTTGATACCAACGATTATTTTATACTTTTTAGGTGTATTTAATTTTTCATTGTATTTTTCTTTTAATTCGATTATTAAAACTTCAATTTGTCATTATTTGTGTTGCACCCGATGTTTTTTTTTTTTGTCGTGAATGATGTGTGAACGAGCCAGAGTGTGTGAGGGAGAGGTGCCATGAAATAAGCTGAACAGCTTTTGCACCGATCCCAGACTGCCTTATGTTTATATATGCGAAAATATTCAATAAAATCGAGCAACATTCAGTATTTCTAGTTCCTACTAAACGGGAGAGTCCGCGAAGGACGCTGAGCATCTGTGATGAACAGTACCGAACAATATTCCCGTTAAGCTGGGCGCAAAATGACCTTGTAGTCGGCGCGCCCTCAAGCCCCAATAAACAACAAAATATTCCCGTTACTTCCCTGACAGCGCCGATCGACTTTCGCGTCGTCACGTGACATTGTCGAACCTGCATTCCAATTTGTGACTTTCATGTTGGTACCGACCCAGCATCCCCGTCACCCGCATAATGATAACAACCAGTATCCAGTTCCATGTCCCGGACTCACATGTCCGCACCGACATCCAGCCTCCCGCGCGTCTCTCTCACATGATGGCGTGTCCGTCTGGGACGGTGGCGATGAAGTAGCCGCCCGGTCTCAGTCGGTCCGAGACGTTCTCCAGCATCCGCTCAGCCTGCTGCAAGCTCTCGAAGCCGTAATGCAGCGCGAACTGCACGCTCACCAGGTCCACGCGCATCTCGGGCGACCGGAACTGCTCCTGGATCCGCACCTGAGGGGATAGGGGACCACATCAGAGACCCGGGACACTATACGTCCTATTGACTGGCGACCGGAACTGCTCCTGGATCCGCACCTGAGGGGATAAAGGAGCGTCTCAGAGACCAGAGACACTGCCTACCGACTGGCATTGGAACTGGGGTTCGGACTTCTGAGCTTCAGGTTCGTTAAAATGTATCGTCTCAAAACGCTCTTGTACAATACGAACCGATTTGAATAAGCAGAGGCTAGAAAGACCAGCAAATCGGCAAACGTTTTGATTAATTCAGTGATGAACCTACAAGAGAAACTGTACAGTGGCGCCCAGCACAGACGATCGGGTCACCGTCCACTTCCGCAAAGAGCAGAGGAACGGTGTTATGGCTCGGGTGCCGCTCGCGCTGACACCACTAGGCAGTAGGCACTGACCCAACTAACTTCCACTGGCCCTGGTACAGTCCACCCCTCTGACTCCACTGACACGGATACAGTCTGTCCCACTGACCCCCCCCCCCCCCACACACACACTGACCCTGGTACACAGTCTGCCCCACTGACCCCACAGACCCTGGTACGGTCTGCCCCACTGACCCTGGTGCAGTCGGCGGCGATGAACTCGGCGCTGAAGAGCGGTTGCGGGTGCCGCTCCCGCTCGTTACGCTGCTTCATGTCGCGGTACCGGCCCCGGCACTGTTCCACCGACGTCTCGGCAATGTCCACGCAGATTAGGTGGCGAATTTCCGCCTGCCGGGGAGGTAAGCGTCAGATACCGACGGAGTTATGAGATCGTGGAGCCTACTCACTTTGTAATACGTACAGTTGCATTTGTATTACGTTAATGTATTACAAATAACGCGTGCGACTTTCGCACATAAAACGTAACGCACAAAAAACAATACCAATACCAAACACACCATTGGTTTGAGCAGCCGTTAGTGTGGCATTCCTAGGCCCTGTGACAGATTCCAGTGGGCAGTGGAAGCCCCTCCTTCCCGGGGTTGGACGGACCTTTTTCCATTTGAGCATGTCTCCGCCCTTGCCGCAGCCCATGTCGAGCACGGTGGGCCGGTGGCCAGTCACCGACTCGTCTGCCAGCCGGTGCACAAACTCGCCTGTAACACACGCACAACCTGACGAACTGCCAACACACCGAGCTGGGTCGTAACGGCCAGCTCAGTACACATCATACGTACCGATAACGCAACGATGGAGCAAAAACAGAATTTGAAGCTATGATTTCACCCGCACATGAACGTAAACATTTATATTAACTCAGTGTTCAACAGTCAAAGATCAACAAGCAAAAAATAGTAACAGTAATAAATCAGCATTTGTTGCGGTTGAAATAAGAAAATGCGGCGGAAAATGAAAAAAATCAATTATTCATGAAATGCAATGAAATTTGCGTTATTTTAATGTAAAAATAGCGACAGCCATACGAACCGATGAGCATACTCTTCACCCAATTGTTAAAGTTTCTGAGGTAGAAGATGGGGCTTTTGATTCGGTCGCGGACACCGGTATTCTCCAGCTGATTGTAGTGGTTGGCAACTGCAGTAGCCAGTCCATCCTGCACATAAGCATTGAGTTACGACTCACGCTTCGCTAAAACACGCGCAAACAGGGAACATCGCGAGACAGAGCTCAACTATAACGTTTAAGCCCTAGATTTATTTACTTTTTACTCTACAACAATAAGCAGGCCAACAAAACACTAGCAGAGTCCCGTACCTGGTTGGCCGTTTGAACCTTGGTGATTTCGTCATTGCTCTCGGTGGCGGTCTGGGGCTCGTCGGCACTGCCTCCGGGTCCGGCCGACTCCTCAGTTCTCTTCTTCTTGGGGATCACAAAGCCACGGTCTTCACCATGCTTCCTTTTAGTCGCTGGTAGGGTTGGCTTCTCCATTGTCAATCTGTCCTTGGACCTAGAAATTGAGCACACAAAAAAGATAATATGCATTGCTTCCGCGGTAATATTCAAACTATGAAGTAGGCATGACAATTTTGACAATTCGTAAGTCAAAGGTGCGAGTTGCTCAGCCAGCACGGATGGCGCAGATTCTTAGAATGATAGCAGCGGGCATTCCAAGTTGTCTGGGAATTTTAACATTTTTTCAGGGGTTCACATTTACCCTCACTGCTGGCCGCACTCATCACCTAGTCTGCTGCCATACTTCAGCCTGGTTTGAGTGATAAGCACCATATTCTACACACTCCCTATTCCCCAACACTAGCGCCGGCGACCAAGCGGCCGCCCGGCTGGTGGCGGAGCGCCGAAACATCGGCGCCGAGTGCACCGGCGGCCGCCGCACTGGCGTGCGTGCTAAAAACGCGGTAATGGAGAGCGAAATTAGCGAGCTTTAGCTCATAAGACACGATTTCAGACACTTTAATCAAACCTTTAAGTCATTTCTTAAAATAATTAAGGCTCCAGTTAGTCATTATCACACACGGAACCATTAGCTGATGCCCATAAACTGAGCAGATATTCTTGACTTGCCGATGCAAATTATCACCAAATATCATCGTTCCTCGGCAGTTAAACAAGTCCCTATTAATAATTTAATAGAAATATTAGCTTATTTTCATGTTATTGCATTAAACATCACTTTATTCTAACATTGGCTCTTCGGCTGTAATCACAAAAATTCACTTGTGAGCATAATTTAAGCAAATTCTTTAACTAAAACTGGGAAAATAACATTTTCAAGACATTCCTCAATTCCTGTTCTACCAGGTTCACAAGACTTTTCATCAAAATCGGTTACAGGTAGGCAATAAATGACAAAAGTATACAAAAAGACGCGCTCCGCCCATAGCACGCAAAGCTAAAATGCCGCCAAGCCAACGCCCTCGCCGTCCGAAAATCCGCCGCCACCATCGGTTGGTCGGAAAATCGGCAGAGTGTCCCATCCAGGAATACCTAATCCATGTGCCTACCTAACCCATAAGGCCGAGGCCAAACCGAATGGGGGACAGTGAATCCGAATGCTTTCCAGTCTGGGATCCAATACTCTGCAAAACACTGATTAAGAGGTAAGGAATACCTTTTGTCTTCACAAAAAATAGATTGGTATCCAAATAACAAAGAAAATATTAACATTGATTGGTTTGGACTTTGGATTAAGCACCATTATCCAGTGGATCAAGTGTCAAATGGAACTCTTATGCTGTTCTAAGCGGCCAGGTAGCGGCAAAGCCATGCATATCGCCCAGGAATTAAATCAAGATAACTGAACCTTGGGAAACTTACCCCTAGGCGAAAATGTGCTCCCCAAAATGAAATTATTATCTAATTAGTATATAATGGCATACAATGCCCATACATTGAAAAACATGTTCAATACATCCTGGTATTCATCTCGTTTTTCCCTAGCAGATTTTAATTGGTCAGTTTTGTTTTATGAGACCGAGACAGAACGGTTGATTTATCGAGCAGCAATCAATTTTGAACATTAGTTAGTTTTCTGCGCTGTCTGTCTTTTCAGCGTCATTTATGAAACATGAATCCTTTATGAATGCTTTGTATTTGAAGGATGACGTAAACATGATACTTTTATTTTAAATATTCGAACCTCACAATTGAATAACCATTATAAGACTTCGATGCTTAAGTTATCTTGAAATCTATGAAGTTAATTGTAGCACAGACTTACTCACTGATAAAAGAACGGAAACTTTTTTCTTAAAATTAATATACGTCATTTGTAAGCATGGGATATTCTGAGTCATCAGCGAAATACGTGGGGCGTGTTTATCGTATCGTGGAAAGCGTTGTGGTTCCGTGCTTGTGTGTGGGAGGGTTATAGGGATTTAGATAATTTATTCACCGTTAATAAATTCGGAATGCTCATCAAGGAATAGTAAGTGCTTCAAAAAATAACACATTATTCATTTCCAACGGTGTGCTGCGCTATGCTTACCACATCTCTCGATATCGTTGTTGCGTCTTAAACGTCTATTGATGAGTAGTTGTGAGGTTATGTTGATTTTTTGTAATTTTACCAAGGGCTTTCTTGCTTTCTTTTTGAATACTACTTAACCGTGAGTAGTACATTCAGTGTTATCTACCTTTTTCAGTTAGTGGTCTGGCGAAGAAGAAATACTGGTACCTATGGTCTATGGACTGGCACGTATAGGCCATAGCTAATTCATACGATAAAATGAATTAATGCCAGAAGTTATAATTAAGCAACTAAATTTAGTTGGCTGGAAACCCACTGAATATGTGGGACCCCCACTGTTCTTGCTGTGATTATATCCTTATGCTCTCTGGAGTTTTTTGTAGTTTCTGTAAAAGCTTTTAACACTGTGTTTTGTTTCAGCCGAGTTGTGCTGCCACTCACAGTGGAAGAGGTGAGAACTGAGATGTAGATTGATTTTATGTGACTTGTTTTGTGTTTGACACTTGTATTTAACTCAAAAGCTCTCTATGCATGGGATTTCCTGAGATTCAAATATAGACCCATTGAAGGAGGATTTCTTAAGACATTTGATGAGGTTTTTTATATATGTAGCCTGTTGCATATGTAGCCTTCTTAACATTTTATTTGCATAAAAGGCTTGTATTAAGCTTTTGGTCATCATCTCTCATGGGATGAATGGATGTTGAGCAGCCACATTCTGGATGGTCTATGGTGAACCTATGGCTCAGGCATATGTAGATCTGACAGCATGTGTCTCATTTCAGTACCAAGTTGGACAACTGTACTCAGTAGCACAAGCAAGCAAAAATGAAACAGGTGGTGGTGAGGGCATTGAGGTGTTGAAAAATGAACCCTATGACAATGTGCCACTCCTGGGAGGAAAGTTCACAAAGGGTCAATATACGTACAAAATCTACCACTTAGCTAGGTGAGTTTCAAATTATATTTACCATCATTCATGCATTGCATATTGTTTTGATGTTTTATTTTATATTTTTCCTTAGACATGTACCTAGTGTGCAATGCACAAATAGTGATATTGATATGTCTGAAAGCCTTGTTTGCAGTTCTTTTTGTATATTTTTGGTTTCCAAGTTGTGAAAAGTCTGTGAAACAAAAGTGAAAAGGCTGTTGTGATCCATCCTCAAATATTTTGTCTTTTCAGCAAAGTCCCCAGCTTCATCCGGCTGCTGGCACCCAAGGGGTCCCTCGAGATCCACGAAGAGGCATGGAATGCATACCCCTACTGCAAAACTGTACTGACGGTAGGTGCTCTAACACTGAATTATTTGATCTTATTTGCTGATGGAGATTTTAGGGTCATGTTCAAACACTTTTCGCAGCTTTTCCTCTAGGTCGCATGAGCCTACAGGTTTTTTTTAGGCTGACATCTTTCCAGATAATGAGCACCGCATGGTATATCTTTTTCATACCAAAGAAAGCCTTATTAATTTAAGTTTATTATTGGCGTAGGCCCAAACGAACTATTGGTCTCAAGATAAGGGCCCAGGCGACCTGTAGTTCGGATGCGGTGAATACCCTCACTCTCGCCACAACTCGAGTGGGGGTGGGGCTGGGTGGGAGGAGGGGTGCGCTCGGCCCGAGCTGTGGCGAGACTAAGGGTATTCACCGCATCAAAACTACAGCTGGTCGCCTGGGCCCTTATCTTGAGATCAATAGTACTTTATCGTAATTATGATTGCGCCACATTATCGCATCCTAAATGATGCAGTTACCATAGTTGATAATGTTGCGCCTTTTTCAGAACCCGGGTTACATGAAGGACAACTTTCACATCACGATTGAGACGTACCACTATCCGGACGCCGGCCAAACACCAAACGTGAGTAGATATACCCCGCTCAGGGCGGACCGATGCGGCCTCTCCAGGCCCGCTCCCGGAGACACCCACCCCCGGCTCTCAGACGGGGTTACTCTCGCTCCCTCCGACGCCCACTGTCCCTCAAAGACGCCCATCCCGTGTTCTGGTGATAATTGCCGGCTGAGACGCCGCTGTCAAAGGACTGGGATGGTGCGGGTGGCCGCTGCTAAGGATTGTGGCACTCTGTGACGCCGCTGCCAAAGGACCGGGCGGGTCAGGGACGCCGTCATCGACATGGCCTACCGGCTGTCCGGGACTGTATTCACCTGCTGACACTGGCAGTCCGTGCCGGGTCCAAAACTCAGAATCATCATCATTATCATACTGACAGTGATGTGGCAAAGTACAGGGCAAAACGCCATCTGCTTCCAGGGATTGCGAAACCTGCCGCTTATGCCGCTTATATGCTCTTAAGCGTTTGCCGTTTGTTGACACACGTCATATTCTTGCGGCAGCCGTCCAACAGTCAAGTGTGCCAGGGTATTTCTTCTGTAAATGTCTGGGTGTGTTGTGACGTTTGGTCCACATAGGAGGTGATATTTGAATGTTGGGAGGTGCCTTCTTCAACTTTTAGTTCAACACTCGCCAGGTCTGAAAGTATGGCAGACGCATCTTCCGAGGACGGGGTCGTTTGGACCATGGCTGGTTGGCAGTCTGACGGCAGTTTGGCAAACTTTGCGCAATGCTGCCCAGAACGGCAGTAACACACAAACGCTTCTTACTTTGAAGTTGGCACCAGAGCCCTGTCCGTATGTTTCATAGTGTGTCTACGTGTCGTCTACGAAGCTCCGGTGGTATTGTGACATTGTGGCAAAGCTTGTGTAATGACAAATTATGTACTAAAAAAGTGGATGTTATTTAGCTGGTGACGGCAGCAAGTGTTTGATTTCAGTGAATAGTCGAGAAAAGTCGAAATGAATCACCATGTAATTGATCGTTAAGTGATCGGTATTCAGTAGATTGTGACTTTTAGTTGACATTGGAATGGAACGTTTGAACTTACAACCACCATTAGGCTATCGTGTATGCGATTGGCAATGAAATCTCCTGTCGTGTACTACCGATTTCATTAAATGCCACTAACGCACATGTCCCGACCCAGTGTCCTACTACCGCGTGCGTCTCTGTAATCGACGTGTAATGTGACACCATCTGATAACGCGATGAGGCGGATAGCGCACGTGGCTAGCTCACGTAACACCACGCGTTTCTTATGGACTGTCTACGATCGGGGACGGGGAGGGTAGGTACTTGACGTGGTTGTTCGTAGCTCAATGCTGGAGCGGCTTCGCGTGGAGCTGTTTGGGGTTTGCGGCATTTTATACATGGTTGCCCATCGTAAACAAATAACGCATAGATTAAAAGCGATAGAGCAATATCCAATCTCAATTTGGCGTATGGTTTCATCCAGGCTCTTTCTCCAAGTTATTTGGAAATGGTTGCTGGGAGCAGTTTGCTAAGCAGGTCTTTTTTATCAAACAATATAAAAAGATGTTCGAGTGGCCCGAGATAGCCTATGACTCGAGTTCATGTGCTTCGATCTTGGCTGGGGAAGTCCCTTTCATATTGATTTTTTCTTAAAGACCAGCATCTCTTACGTGGCCTATTTGACAGCTGCTCGCGCTCAGTGTGATCGCTCTCCCTGCATGCCTCTCTCCGCGTGACCGGTTACAATACGTCTGCGGTTAATCATTGGTCATATTATGCAATCCTCGGATAGTAAATTAACATCAGTCATTGTTCAGAATCGTGGCTTCCATGATATAGCGACTGTTTGACTTAACGTAAACGTTTGACCGTCTGATCTACGCATCGGGACGGCCTCAACTGCTTCCCTGAGTAAAAATGATCTCATTAGGCACCTGCTAGATCCGTGGGCGTGGTTTCTTACTTGCTCGTTGTGCATTTCATGATTTCTCGAGACTGTGAGTGTGGACCGACTTCTATAGTCTGTTCGTGCTATTATGATTCAGCAAAGCGAATGTTCACGAGATAATGCAACCGAATGCGCGGGTGGCGACTCCAGTGCCCACATTTTATCTCGCAATAAGGCTAGCCGTTTATTTGTCTTTAGTGAGTTGAGGGGTGAACCACACCACGCTGGTCGCTGAACTCGGCTGCGATTTCACCGACCTACGGGGAAGTGTTTCATCTAAGCGTGTGCTGCACTGTCGCAGTGTTCGTGTTTCGTAAACACCAGCTGAACCTTACCACCTGGTCCGTTAATTTGCTGCAGAGCCTGCAGTCTGCAGTGCAGACAACATTGCCCTTCGGGTTAATGATGTTGGGAGACGTTCGAATTGTCTTCTTGGAGTAGGGCGGAGCAGCATGCTCCCCTTGTATGTCAGTGGTCCAACGGCCGCCTGCGGTACCCCCAGCGGCGTGACTGGCATATTACCATATCCAACTCACTCGGTAGTCGATCCACGCGCGCGGCCGGGGAGCATTTCTCGCGGCAGGTCGTCTCCATACTGTCAACTTACCATCAGCATAACAGCTGTGTCAGAGGCCTCCACTGCTCAGGAAGGAAATTGACAATGATCGCGTCAGTATGCGTGCTCGTGTTTTGGTGGCCTGACTTTGGGGGGCTGTGTGCCAAGTCCCGACACTGAACACATCGAGGAATTGTTACGTGACAAATGCTGCTGGACGGCAGGTGGATAGTAATTTCGACCAACACTAATGAGTGCTGTTGAGTACCTATAGATCGGGGATTAGCGATGAGGCGAGTGTCAGTCAGCGGGGCTGTCATCACCGGCCGACACAAGGGCGACTGACAGATGGCAGTTCAACTGCCGTGTCAGTTCAACTGTTCAACAGTTCAAACTGTCGCCGTTAGTGGCTGCGGGATCGCCCGCGCATCCTTTTTCTCATGATCCGTGCTCCTTTCGCCCGTCACCTTTTCAGCTGCCGCATCGAATGTATTTCCGCCTCGCTGCACGGGACGGGGAATGCATATTTTAGTTCAGCAACCGAACTGTCCCATTCGTCTTTCAGCAACCGTTCCGACTCCCCAGGCTCCCCGTGCCAACCCCCCCCCCCCCCCTCCCTCCATGCTCCCCGCACCTGACCGCCCCGCCCCTCACCGCCCACCCCCACCAGCTGCACGAGCTGCCTCCAGACCGTCTGAAGCAGCGCGAGGTGGTGATGATCGACATTGCCAACGACCCGGTGCCCTCGTCCGACTACAAGACCGACGAGGACCCGACCAAGTTCCAGTCGGTCAAGACGGGACGCGGCCCGCTGGTGGGCAATTGGCAGCAGCAGGTCAGTCGTCGCCGCCGACGCCGAGGGGAGGAGAGGGGGAGGGAAGCCCTGGACCGGCCAGCCGGGAAGCCGGGAGCCGACCGGAAGGAGGGTGATTGGTAGGGGCGATTTATAATCCGGGTCAATTCAATTGTGATGTTGTTGTGAGTAGAGTATGTATTTCTAGAAATTGGAACCGATTTGTGGGGATACGCATGATTATGTGTGTTTCAATTGTCATTCCCGTTGTATCAGACATGGCTGTTGATATTGATGTGTGTGTCCTGCTGATGTCCGATTTTAGAAGCCGGTCATATGTTGTTACAAACTTGTGGAGGCCGAGTTCAAGTGGTTCGGCCTGCAGAAGCGGGTAGAGAAGATGATCATGTTCCAGGAGGAGCGCATTTTCCGCAACTTCCACAGGTACCCGGTGGGGTCCAGCGCAGTCCGATTCAGTCCAGTCCGGCTCAGTTCTGTGTCGTTCAATCCAGTCCTGTCCGGTCCGGTTCATTGTTCATTCATTCGTGTTGTCGTTCATGTTCATTCGTGTTGTCGATCCTGTTCTGTCCGGTGGAGGCTGGTCCCGTCTGTCACATTCTGTCCGGGGATCCCTGTTGTGCCGTCGGTGGTCTTTCGTAATGTTTTCGTTCTCTCGGATCACCGCTGTTTCCGCGCCGGGGATGGCTCGCCGCCCTCCCTTCGCCCTGACGAGTGGTACACCTCCCATCAGGAGCCCATCATGTGCTGCTACAAACTGGTCTCGGGCTACTTCAAGTTATTCGGCCTGCAGGGGCGCGTCGAAGCCATGATCGATTCCCAGTACCGGCGCGTGTTCAGGACGTTTCACAGGTAGCTGCCGCTCCAGCCGGGCGGTGCTCTCTCCTCTCGACCTCGCCTCTCTCCCCGTCTCTGTCTGTGACCGCTGTCCAGTCGCTTTGAGGTGGTCCACTGTCCGTCCCGCCGCTGTGCTATAACACTGCTGACCGGAGCCGGGCGGGCGGAGCGACGACACTGCGCTGCGGGCGGGGCGACCGACCGACGAGAAATACTGCCCCCCTGACCGGCGAGAGACGCAGTCTGCAGAACCGGGAGGCTGGCAGGGATGATACAGTTGTAACCTGTGTTGCGCTTGTGACCCGAGTTTTGTCCCGCTGTCTGATCGTGACTGCCTTCGCCGCTGTCTGTACTTATGTCAGCGGTGACTGGTGACCTTTGTTGAGACCTCGGTGACAACTGAAGTGGTACAGTGACGTACACGTGATGTTGTGAAGTGATCGATTATGTGACGGAACCCAAGGTGACTGGCGTATATCGGGGGTAACGCGCCGCAATCTATGTATAGTGGCCGATGGAGTTTAGTGTGGCTAAGTTAGCGTGTTATCTTATCGACCTCTTATCGACCATTAAACATCTTAAAGGTCGACATTTTAATGCATCATCTTACATTTCCGAAAGTGACCCAACTTAGAGAAATGGGCTAAATTACGCGGTTATGCTTGGTGCATCCTGTATTGATACCCTATTTCGGTATAAAAAAAAATGTAGTGTTCAGTGCTCATTGAAGCAGCTGCGGCCTACGCAGCTATCTCGCTGTCTTATACCGGTGACCGTCTAATGCCGTCAACTGCTGTCAACTGTATCTGTGGCCAAGCCGTATCTGTCTGATAAGTCTGACCGCCATCCGTCTGACTGGTGTCCGTTTGACGATATCCGTCTGGCCAGAATGCCCATCTGAGCCATCTGACCGATACCTCTCCGTCTGACCAACATGCGTCTGACCCGTATCCGTCTGGCCGATATCTGATCGGTATCCGTCTGAGTCATCTGACCGTCTGACCCATATCCGTCTAGCCAGTGTCCGTCCTTGCCATCTGGCCGATATCCTTCTGAGTCGTCTGACGATTGTGTTGCGTGTCTGCGTGTGTGCCCGGCAGTTGAAGGAGCCTTATATGACCTGTTACAAACTAGTCACCGTCGAGTTTAAGTGGTTCGGCCTGCAGTCGCGGGTGGAGAAGTTCATCATGAACCAGTACCCTCGGTTATTCACCAACTTCCACAGGTAGCGCACGCCCCCGCCGCCCCCCGCCGCCGCCCGGCCGTGCTCCGCGCTGTCTCCGTCTGCCTAACTCACTCTCTCTCACTGCCCGCCACTAACCGTCCACTGCGCATGCGCCGTGACCCGCCACCGGCGGCAGGTGTCGCCCATCATGACCTGCTACAAGCTGGTCACGGTCAGCTTCAAGTGGCGCGGCCTGCAGAACCGCGTGGAACGTTTCATAGTTTCGGCAGAGCAGAGGCTCTTTACTAACTTTCACAGGTCTGTCGGCTCGTGCACGCCCGGATAGCACCCCGCATGGCCTGCCGCCCTCCCGTCCTCTCTCTTTGCCCTCTGTCGCTCTCCGTGCACGCCCGGGTATGATGAGGAGATCAGCTGCGGCGGGTGGGGTCTCGGCTGCATGGGTCGCTCGCGGTGACCGCCGCCCCGTCCGGTGTCGGTGCATGGCTTGCTGCTTAGTGCGCTGGATAAGTGGCTTTCTGAAGCGATACTAACTGGTGGCTGGAGGGGGTGGCAGCTCTGCGGGTGTGGCAACCAGTCAGGTAGGCAACCCTTCATTTGTACATTGTTTGGAGAGCAATATAGTATTGTGTCAATACAATAGATTGTTTAGATCAGGCTGTATTATTGCATACGAATAGTTTATTGCTGAAGTAAATCCGCAGTGTCTTTTTAAGCTAGTTGAATGCGTATTATTGTTCACTGGTAGATTCATTGAAATGTGTGCTTAAATTAGGAATGGCTTTTAGCGGCATAGTCATTTAGCATCACTTTTTACTAGACACCACAATCAGTGTAGCGTATAATATAGGTCCAACAGTGAATTACTGTTCCCTTTGTGCAATACTGGTGCACGGTTGATGCTGTTACGTCGGCCGCGTCATGTCGTTTCGCAATTGTTATATTATTTAATATTTTTACTGGGTGATAGTTGGTTTATCCAATAACTGTTAATGACAGCGGGCTATAGCCCTCCTGGAGCTCCTGGAGTTATAACAATAAGCGGAGGCTTTGAATGTGCATATTGGCGGTTCACTGATATTACCATGGTGACTCAATGGACGGCAGCCCGCCAGTGTAGTGCGCACGGCGCTGAAACTGCGCCAGGGGCATGCTATATCGCCCTGCAGTCGCGGCCCGCCGCGCGGTACCCGTGCGAGCGGCAGCGGCTGGGGCATTCCACGTCAAATCGAACAAAAATCGGCTGTTTTGCACCTTACCGTCAGCGATTTCATTATAAATTTGTGAGCGAGTTCCTGTGTGGCCCCGGACATTACTTTGATGTTTTTTGCACATTCTGACCACAGGTCTTCTAAATATAGGGCATCAAATTTTTACAAAATGTTGCATCTTTATATTTTTGAACGACCATAACTTTGGTTGTACTTGTTTGATTTGAATGAAATAAACCTTACTGTTTAGGTAATTTCTTAAGCATTTGTTTAGAATTGCACCTACTTAAATATATGACCTTGAAATTTGCTTAACTCTGTTCTTAAGCACAAATATTGAAATAGCAAAAAACACGTCACCTTCGATTTGGCTCATTTTCATATATTTTATTGCCTACCATATTCTTAACAACCTGTGAAAAAATTAGAGTGGGCCATTCATAAGTTTTGAAGAAAATTGCACATATGCAAACGTATGTTAGCACGCGCAGTGGAGAGGGAAGAGCGAATTTCGCCCACCCCTCCTGTTTTTCGCCAATGTCTCATAAGATTAATGCGAAATTAATTATGGCTACCTGTCAAGAATTGAATTGGACATCTCGTCGTGCAAGCAATAAGAAAATCGGTTCACAACTGTTCTAGTAATAGCGGTGTAAAGTGAACATCCTGTCGCCGCAGCGACGCGGCGACTCGGCAGCCGGCGCCGACCGCTACGCGCCGCCTGAATTGTAGACTGTGCCGGGACGGAACGGAACGGTTCCGTCTTTACATGGCGCTCCCTACCGCTGATTACGTTCGATTCGCGTCAAATTTTGTGAGAAGACTAAGAAATGTACAGGCAATCTTATGGTAAAAGAATTTTGAAAATCGGTTGGTAAACAATTGAAATATGAACGTGTAAACACAAAATTGTGATTGCTGCGTTTCCCGCATCGGCCGAGCCCGCCTCAGCCGGCGACATGTTACTCTTAGCAGGCCTCTAACTGCCATATTTATTATTGGATTAACTAGAAATTCCCCATACATACTAAAAAAATTTATGTTCTTTCGTATAGTGAAGATCAAAAGACGTGAAGATATCGTTGCGTGATAATGTTTTCGTTGAATTTACTTCATGATGCATTTCCACACGGCTCAAAATTCACCGCAAAATACCGTTTGCCTGAGACACTTTTACTATGGAACGTGAATGCTTGACTACGATAACTATGCATTTCCGTTCTCGCAGAGTTTGGGATATCACTAATCAGCAATCATTCATTTCAGAAAGTGTACACAAGCAAGCATGTCTTGACTCTGTCTTTCAAGGTCACGCGCGGTTGCGTGATGTTGATGCATGAAAACGGCGTTTGCCGCGAAAGTTATGAATGGCCCACTCCAATTTTTTCACAGATGGTTAGGAACATTGTGACGGACATAATATGTAAAAATTACCCAAATCGAAAGTGACGTGTTTTTTGCTATTTAAATTTTTCTGTTTTAATTCAAGGTCAAATGCATTTCAAGGTCACTTCAATTTAATTTTATAATTAAAAATCAAAGCCTTATCAATTGCCTATAAGACCCTGTTAATATCATTTTGATACCAGAAAAGGAACCAGAGTTATAGCCATTTAAAAAACTGATGTGTGGCATTTTTCGCTATATTCGATGACCTATATCTCAGCGATACGTTATCAAATTTCGAAATTATTATACGTAACTCAGTTTTGAACCATGCCCAGTCTGCCTACAAATTTTCAGAAAAATCGAAGGGGATGACGGATTTCGGTGTTTGATTTGACGTGGAATGCCCCGGCTAGGTCCTGTCCCAGCTGGCCGGGCGGTATCACGCCGAGCGCCGCCCTCCTCAGCGGTGTGCCGCCGGCCCGGCCCTGACCCTGCCCACGGCCGGCCGACGAGCTGCGCCTGGCACCCCCCCCCCCCCCCGCCCCGGCCCCTCTCAGCCGCGCCCCGCTCCGTAACACGCCGATTGTGGGCAGGGGAGGTGACGTAGCGGGGTCTGTCGGCTGATGGGCGACGTGCAGTGAGGCAGGGTGATGTAGGCTATATGCAGGTGACAGGGTCACAGGATGGAGCTGTGGACCAGGAAAGGCTAGTCTAAAAATCTCCTCCATTATTTATATACTATATAGTGAATGGAAGAGTGTGAATGTAGAAGAATGAAAAGAATTTAATGAATGGAAAAGGTCAGATTTTCCGTTAGATGGGCCGCGGACAGCTCTGAAGATATTTCATTAATACCCTGACTAGGCTGGTGGATCATTAGCTTGGCACAGTTCGCCGTAAATATTAGGGGTTTTCTGCTCAAATCCACGTAAGGATCCGGCATTGCGTGACCCGGAAGGCCTCGGTTTCTGGAATTTACCTGCAGTATGGCACGCGACACGCTAACTGCAGATCAATGCTCGGGACAATCAGTCTGGAAAATAATGCGGCTAGATGTTCAATTACCTTTAGTGACTACACTCTGCTTACCCCGAACGTAGGTCAATAATGGTGATTTAATGGCCCAAAATGACTGCCAAGATTAAATACGTAGGTATATGCTGCATTGAATAGAAGTCCGATTGGAAATTATAAATCGGAGCCTATCATCTTATTCCTCTAAAGACCGGGGAGGGTACACTACACGCTCCTGCCCAGGGAGTAGGGATAGTATGTATCTGGGATCTGGTACACCCTTTTGCACCACTTCGTGCGGTCTTCGTGCGGTGACATTTCGTGCTCACCCGAGCCGCGTTGACACTGCACGCGTGACGTCATTTCTGACGTTTACTGAGGCCTGTGACGTCACTCGGGTATTGTTTGCCGTGGGCCGTTTAAAGGGACCCTCCCACCTTCAAAAAAGTTAATGAATTGGCATGAAAGTGATGTCCCTTGGTTCAGAAAGAGCGAAAACGAATATCTACCAAATTTCACCGAAAAATATTCACTGGTTTTCAAGATATTAGGCTTTTACTTTTGTTTACTTTTTGAGATCTCCCCTGTTACTAGCGACTTTATTTGGAGCAATAATTTGGCAGCCTTAAAGTGTGGCAGACGTTGCGCGCAAAGCAGCGTATACCACCACGTGTTAACGATGGTTTTAGTCTTAGATTTAAAAATCGTTAGATCTCCGCTGACGTCACAAATTCTAAGGGGGCATTCCAATGCATTAGCCCCTTAGAATCCGAAAACTGCAAGTTTGAAATTCCATATCTTCGAATTAAAGCATTTTTCGATGTTGTGAGTGCCCAAACCGGTATTTGCAGGCCATGGCCACCAATTTGGCTATCTCAACTCAAAACTAATGTTAAGGTGGGAGTGTCCCTTTAAGCCGCGCGGTACTTACCGCAATTGCTGGAACCGGGTGGGCAGTTGGCGACGACGAGGTTCGGTCGCTGCCACCGCATTCAGTCAGCCTTGGCGGGGATGGTAACTGAATGGGTTCGTAGAGTGTACAATGGCGGCCGTCTGGGCTGCCGGCGAATGGAAGGGGGGACTGGCTACAGTCACCTTCCACGGGAGACTGCGTTGCCGTGGGAGGGGAGGCGACTGGCCTACTATGGCATGGGTGAGGTACCGACTCGACTGCCGTGGGAAGGGGGGGGGGGGCGACCCGACTGCCGTGGGAGGAGTTAAGAGAGTGGACCGATTTGACCGCCGCGGAAGTGGGAGGGCCGATCCGACTGCCGTGGGAGAGACGAGGGGACTCGGGACGGGCCAGTTTGGCTGTCCCAGTCCGTACCTCGCCGGACGCCAACTAATTACTGTGGCTCTTGGCCAGCTGTATCTGGGAGGTGGACACCCGCCACCGCCATCTTTCTATGTGGCTGGCTTGCTGGATGTGGGAGGTGGAAATTAGCGTATGCTGCGGCACGAGGCATATATTGGAAGGTGCTGATTTGGTTGAATAAAATGGATGCATTGATCGGCATCGAGCGCGTCAGGTCAATCGGATTTAGGGAAGTTTGATGACCTCTGAGTGAGCTTAACGCTACGACCATTTTTATCTGCCTGCTCAAATTACAATCGCTGTTATCGAACAAACCTGAACCGAAATAGCTTCCTCGGCATTCCGCTGAGTAAGTGCAGAATGCTGTCATGTTTAACACCGACTCAGGGCGTTGACCAGTCGTCGTCTGTTTTCCTAACAGTAGGAACTTCTCTCGGCTGGCAGCCGGCCGGGGTGTGTAGGAGCCGCTGCCAATGCCCCCGCTGACCGGCGCCCCTCCCCACCGACCACAGACAGGTGTTCTGCTGGCTGGACAAGTGGCACGGCATGACGATGGACGACATCCGCGAACTGGAGGATAAGACCAAGGCCGACCTGGACAAGGTGAGACGTCTGCAGAGACTCCCGGGCGGCAAGGGGGGCGGAGTGGGGATGCAGGCGTGTGTGGGAGGGGCTTGGAGGGGAGGGAACGGTACGGGGGCTGGGGGGAAGGGGAGGCAGTGAAAATGGGGGAAGGGGAACGGGAGGGTGTTGTGGCGTGTGCGAGAGGTCGTACGCGGCGTGGTCGAGTGCGTATGCTGTTTTATGGGCACATTTGACCTGGATTGCCCTAAACGGCAACACAAACATACACGCTCGTAAGACCTTGTCTGTTACGATGTGTCATCAGTTGGACGCTTTACGCGCTGCGCGTAAGCTCCGTTCGGCCGCGTTTCCCCATCACTCATCTATGCTGTGTCAGGTGTGGATCGTTGTTTTTTCTTCCCTCCCTCTTCCTCAGTCCTCACCACATGTGGCTCTGTTCTGACACCCCTCCCCCCCCCCCCCCAGCAACGGCGAGAGGGCCAGGTGCGCGGCATGAAGGCGGAGGGCGACTAGCGGCGCGGCCGTGGCGCCGACTAGCGGCGGGCCCTGGTACCAGTGGTTCGCCGAGCGCCCGCCGACACCGGCCGGCCTGTCACGCGTGGGTGTTTAGGTAATGGCCATTGTACGGTGAATTTAGTTGATTTATATTCAATCAGTCAGTAAAATTTAGGAGGCTAGTGGGAGGAGCTGAGACATGTGTGTGCTCTGCGTTGGTCGGCGGTCCGACCCATCTCTGTGTACCCCCGGTCCGCGCCGGTCCGGCCGGCCGCCCCCTCCCCTCCCTCCGCCCGGCCGGCCGCCGCCCGCAGACAGACAGACAGGCCGACTAGTCCGGCAGCTGTGCCCGCTGATCAGGCGCGCGCAGTGGTCGTGTGGGGCGGCGACCGCTGGGGGTGGGTGGGGGCGGCCGCGGCGGGCCGCACACGAATCCACCGACCGACAGCGTGGCTTTTATTGGCCCGGAACCTACGGCGATGTAGAATCGTTCCACACACTCGTATCTCGAATCTATCTTCTCAGACTGCAATGGCTGACGTTATTCTACAATTAAGTAGGAGTGGAGCCCTGAATATGCACCGCTCGTCAGGTACTGAACTCTGCGCGCGGGGCCAGCAGGCCGACCGTTCACCGATCGTCGTTCGAACCAGCCTCCTCCCACCCAATCCTCGCCACCGAAAAGGCTGATCTGGGTATCTAGTGTGAATGTCGCTCCTCTCCCCAAGTACGAGCAGCCGTCACCCGCATGTGGACGCGCACTGTTGTAACTGCCCTCCCCTCCGAGACGTTGACCGGTCCTCATTTTATGCGTGTGCTCAACGGAGAGAGAGAGTGGATAATATTATCACGTCTTACTTCACTCGCCTCGCATCAGTGTCTGCTAGTGACCTGCCTCGGAGCGAATCGGAGCCGCGATGGAGTGCATGGGCCCCAGACTGACTGCTAGCTCTAGCTCGTTTTGCCTCGCTGTCTCCGCTGCCGCCGCCGCCGCCGCTGTCATTCGGGCGCCGCGGCGCGACTGTCGTTTGTTTCTCTGTCCCCCCGGTTCGTGTGTGCTGGTCCTGTTCTATTTCTCGGTGCGCGGCGACTGTCTCCGAGGCGCGCCGGTCTCCGCCGCCGCCCGGAGCCGTCGCTCGGACTGTGCGCGGTCGCAGCCGTTTGTGTCGCTGTGTGCGCGCCGGGCCGCGTCCCTGCCAAAACTGCGCTATGCTTGCCCCATAATCGGGGGCCCACGCGCATGGGGCGTATGCATTCCATTCTTTTGTTTTGTTTTGGCTGTAAAAAGTGTGAATACAGGTAGGTCAGGTCATACCTAACGTGTTTGATGTGACATTTACTGATATTTGACGTTACCGGATGACGGCACAACCGCACTAAAGGGATACTGAGCTCGTCGGGCTGAGACGGTTGCCTATAGCCTCACAGAGGCTTTTGTCAAGCCTCTTCACACCGCCTGACCGACCCAGAGCCGGCCGGCGTCACCCCTGACCGGCCGGCAGTCCGTGACACCGCCCACTCGGCGCGCGTCCCCCTCAATCGCACCTATCGCTAGAGCGTGACCTTCAGCCGGCCGACTGGCCTAGATGCGCCCCGATAGGACACGCTAGCGGACCCCGTGACCCAGTGCCCCGCCGGACGCGTCTCCGGACCAGATTAGCGGCGCGTCACCTGTCACCTCTGAGTGCCACCGACGCGACGGAGAGCGATAGATGATAGCCGCTTGTTACCTATGCTGTCACAGCTTACATAAATGCGGCGTTACTTTGGTCGCTATTGGATTGCTATTGGCGTACAGGGATTTAACGTAGATTGTTGGAATGATCAATTTTGTCTTCTTGTGTCACATTGCGAAAAGAAAGGAAAGATTTGATGGAACCTTTCTTTGTATTTGGTGAATTAATTCAATTTGGATTTGGTAAAATCTTTCAAGCCGGCGCCTGATGTCAAATGCGACCTATTTCTAGCATTGCAATATGGGCATTGATTATTCTGCCCTGGCGGACTCCTTATGCGTTCTAAATGAGCGCAGAGGGCGTGGTCAACACTTATAAACCGCAGCCTCCCGTTGTTCACCACAGTCCGGCCAGGGATTGTGTATCAGGGCGCTGTGCTCCGGTCGCCACCGTGGTTTACCCTGTGACCGGAGCATCAACACGGCGCCGAAAATAGCGCCTCCCACCCGGCCGCTCGCCGGGGGCGGCCACCAGGAGACCTATTTGGAGGAGCCCGGCGCCGGCCGGGGATCGATAGAGTCGTTATCGGCGCCGGTCCGGTCCGCCGGATGGACCCGGTGACACGCCCTCCCCCCCCCCCTCCCCCTGCGGCCATCGATTGGTGTGACGTCACCCAATTGGCGAACCAATCGCCGGCCAGCCGCTCCTGCCATCTGTCGGTCAGAGAAGGAACTTCTACACAATCCTGCAGCGCCCCACACAGACTCTGGGGTAAAAGTATATTTCCTCTTAGTTTTGTACAACACCAAATTACGCCGTCAATAACCGGAAATAGACCATTGTTATAAAACGCTTATAATACTAGACATAATCTACGCGGGCGCTCTCGTGTGTGTGTATAAGGCGTTATCATTGCGCGGCGCCGTAGGGCGCTGGCGGGCAGGCGAATATACACGCTAATGTCAGAGTCGGAGTCGGCGTCTGGTCAGTCGGTCAGTCGGTCGGTGATTCACACGGCGCGCGGAGGGGCCGGCGGCGCGGCGGAGCCCACGGCCCTCACACCGACCCGGCCGGCCCGGCGCCCTCCGCGGCCCTCTCCGACCGGCGCTAGTTGTGATATGTTGAACGCTGACTCGCACACAAGCGGGCGGCGCGCAGCGCGGCGCGACACATGTTATAGTGGTCATATAGGCACGCAGGATCACTCACGCACATTCAATACACAGCTCTCAACAGAGGCGCACGCGCGCGCGGCGGGCGGCGGCTCACGAACGGTCGCGGCCGGCCCAAGCTCTCAGCGGCGGCACCTGACGGCCTCCCTGGCCGCGGGGCGGTACGGCGGGCAGCGGCGCGGCGCCGCCCCCTAGGTCTGTCCGCTGCGGTACGAGCGGCTCGTGTTGGTCATTGTCACCGTTTTCTCGACGCGCTGGGAGCTCTGGCTGAGCATCCGCTCGGCAGAGGCCAGCGAGGTGAGCGGGTCGCCGCCGCCCGTGGTACGCGTCATCGACGAACTGTAGTGACTGGTCGACGACTGCCGGCACACGGTCAGGGCAGGTCAGACACGGTCAATGGTAGGTAGGAAAGGATACGGTAGTTGGTTTCATTGGCAGTACTGCTACAACCTAGCACAGTTCCAGTACAAAATACAGATGTCATTCCTTCACCCACTGGCCACTTCACTGCGCATTACTAAACACAGACCATCTCATTGAGACAGCTTCATCGTTAGAATGTTCCTTCAAAATGCCTGCATAGGTCGTCCATTGGCCAAACGGGCGGCGGCCTCACCTTGTTGAAGTTGCTCGCCGGGCTGCCGGACCGGCCGCCGGCGAAGCTCTTGAAGTGTTTGAGTGACTCGGAGAAGCTGGGTCCTTCTGTGATGGAGCTGTCCATCTCGGCCTCCGAGCCCGCGCCGCGGTCCGCCAGCGGGCTGAACAGGGAGAGAATATCAGAATTAGGCGGCAGCGGACAACAGGCAGGGCACATAACTGATGATTCGGACAGTTGACAGCACGCAGGGCACAGACGACTCAGACAACAAACGGGGCACAGACCGACTCGGACAATAGACAGGGCAAAGGCTGACTCGAACAACTGAGCAAATGGTACAGAGCGCAAGTAGTCTACGATTCAACTAAAAAAGAAATTATATTCGTAGACTACTTGCTCTGTACTATATCATACATGTCCAATATATCTACAACTGAGCAAATACTAAGTCGGACAAAAGACAGGGTACAGACTGGCTCGTACATCTGACAGTGCACAGACTGATTCAGACATCAGACCATGACTGCACCTAGCCTAGTGAAGAAGTGGGAGAACCCGCTCCTTCACTAAAATCCCTGACAGCTCACCTGGCGGTGGACCGTTCGATGGTCAGTTTGGAGAGGCCGCCGGCCAGCGCCGAGGCCGGGTCCTGGTTCACTGGAAACTCGCGCGTCACGCTGTACGAGGTCTTCTTGAGCGTGTTGCCCGGGGTGGACTGGGGCGTCGAGTGGGCTGAAGATGTGTAGTAGATGTTCCGCGCGCCGTTGGCGTCCTGACGCGAGGTCTCCAGCCGAGAGGACTCGTACCTGTAGGGCGGAGAGGAGTTAAAGAGGGGTGACAGTGGGGCCGAGGAAGGGAGAGAAGAGGCAATGCACAGACGTCAGAGACGGAGACACCAAAGCATTACAATGTAATGCTAGATTGATGTGTACGTAGAAGGATGGCAAAACCTTCATTACAAAGTCCATAAAACCAGTACGATTGCTGAGCGCCAGCCAATTCTCAGTAGTAGGCGTCATGGGCGCCAACTGCCGTGCAAAGGCAAAAACGATTACGTCAGGTCAGACTAGGTCATTACGTCAGATAAGAGCCTCACAGTTCGACCTAGCGTAATCGCTTTTGCCTTTGCACGGCAGCACTGTTCATTATGAACCTCGGCGGACCGGCCGTTCATCTTACCTGGTGGAGCTATCGTAGCCGCTGAGGTATCCCTCACCCTCGCTGTCGCCTCCCTCGCCGTACTTGGCGCGGCGCAGGGCGGCCAGCTTCAGCCGGGCGTCCTCCAGTTCTCGCTCCTTCCGCAGCACCTGGCGGGGGACGGCACGGGGAGCGTGACAACGTGACACCAGAAAAGACAGCGTCACAGCGTAACGGCGGCGGCGGTAGACGGATGGGAGAGCGCTCAGCATCTCCGCAGCGCAATATAGAAACTCTCGAGAGCATTTAAAAAAAAAATGTAACAGAGACAGTTTTCGTCAGCCAGTTAAAAAAAGGCAAACCAAATAAAGAAAAGAACACTGACGGCGCCCTATAATTTCGGTCAGCACCGCCCACAACACAAGACACAGTCAAACCACACCTGCACGCAGACTATACCCCGCGGCTGGTGTTGGGTTTCACAAAACACACATCACCTCTCCCTCTGGCGGCACTCACGTCGCTCTGCGCGTCCAGCTCCTGGGCCAGTCCGCCGACGAGCCGTTTGTTGAGGATCAGGCTGCGCTCCTCGTCCTGCTCGATGGCCTGCTGTGCGGCGCGCACCAGGTTGTCGGTGGCCTTTTTGACGCGGTTGCCGGCCTCCTGGAGCCGGCGGGTGGCGGCCGAGTCGGGGTCGGCCTTCACCTTACAGGCCACCAGCAGCTGGGCAGTCGAGCCCGCCACCTGGACAGGGCGAGAGGGATGTGTTACTGAGACTGACGCGGGTCAGTGTGAGGAAACAGGCTCTGTAGAAAAATACTAAACGCAGGGAATTATAAACAAAAGTCAACAAAAGTCGAGTAATCTGATTATCTTGTATGATGTAAGAGGAGCTACAACGTGGAAAAGGTGGCAAGAGGATGCCTTGTTGTAAGCTTGAAGTTTGAAGATAATCTTCGTTGAAACTGGAAAATACAAACATACAGCAACACATTGGCATTACGTCTACCACTTTTCACACCAATCATTCTCAGGAGGGAGCCGACCGCAGCCCGTGACTGACCTGTTTGGCGGCGGAGATGAGCATCTCCTCGGAGGAGTGTCCCTGCACCAGCGAGTTAGCCGCCTGGCACAGACTGTGGGTAGCAACGGCGACAGTGCGTGCCGCAGAGATGAGGCCCTCCGACCACTGGCCGTCCTCGCTCGAGTAGTGCGCACGCTGGCTCACCTGCAGAGCCGGACGGAATTAGTTCAGAGGTGAGAGACAGGTCAGATCTGAATGAGGAGGCTGGGGTAGCTGAACTATATGTCAAAGACAAAGACGGGAAGTGCCTACCGCGGGGAGCTACCCAAAGGAATACCCCACAGGAGCAGAGGCAGGTTTGGGGGAGACCGGTCCTGAGTAAAAGATAAGCCACCTATCTTAGGATGGCTGGTTAGGAAGATGCGGAATGGAAGCGACAGGGCGCGTCCCCCCGAAGCCGTCACAGACTGTTGGCTGAGCGCGGGTCACCGTGTGGGACCGGCATATCGGCGGTAGAGAGAGAGACAGTGACGAGCCCAAACACAATGGTGACAGCCGGGCGGGTGCCGCCCGATACGGTGATGGAAGGAGGGTGTGTCCGTCAGCGCACGCCACAGGCGGGGCAGGATTGTCCTACGGCAGGACTAACAGAGCGACAGCACAGTACACCGCCAGAGAGCGACAGAAAGTCACGATACAAAAGCCCG